AGCAAAATACTCCTTGATATCCAAGTGGGTAAAAACCAAACTTGACAAACCATCTTCCAGGACGTCTTCTATATCCTCAATCTGCATGGAAACTTGGTGTCTGTGTCCAAACTGTCAAGCGGAGGATACACTTTTGCATTCGAGCAGAATCTCTGTAAAATCCTATTAAGGAATGAGATAGCTGGACTTGCATTTAAAAGGAACAATCTTTATATCCTTGCCGCAGAATCATGCTCAACCAAGCTTGCATTGCAGAACTTGAGCTTTCCGGAGACACAGAAAAACAAGCCAAAAACTTGTTTTTCTTGGTAGCAAAGGAAACCATGTCAAAAGCCAGTCTTAAAACATGGCATTGATGTCTTGGCCATTTGAACCACAACTATATCCAACAGCTACTTCAAAAAAAGATGGTTAACGGCATAGAAATCACTGGTAAAACCACTCACAATGGCACACTGTGCATTAGCTGCCTTGAAGGAAAGCAAACTCATAATGCTATCCCTAACACTCCTGGTGTAAAAAACCCCCCAAGTCCTGCATAGGACTTACACAGACATCTGTGGTCCAATGGCTACCCAAACAAGATCTGGCCACCGGTATTTTGTCACTTTTATCAATGGATTCTTGCATCACATAGTAATCAACTTGCTGAAACACAAGAACAAAGTGTTCAAGTGCTTAAAATCCTACGTTGCATGAGCCAAAGTTCAAACAGGTCTGCAAGCAGATATATTACACAAAGTGATGGGGGAGGGGAGTACAAATCCAAAGAGTTCCAGACTTACCTGGCTCAAAAAGGAATGCACCACAGAAAAATAAACGCTTTTACACCACAAGAAAATGGTGTGGCTGAACGCATGAATTGCACAATGGTTGAGATGGCATGCACTATGCTACAAGATGCAGCATTGCCTTTCTTGTATTGGGGGGATGCTGTCCTGCATGCTATGCACATTGTCAATAGAGTCCCTACTCGGGCACTCACAGGTGATCCCACACCTTACAAAGTCTTTACTGGAAATAAACCCAGTGTATCACATATTTGAATCCTTGGGTGCAAAGCCTATGTACACATCCCTGATGAGAAGCGTAAGAAACTCAATGCCAAATCAATAAAGTGCACATACCTGGGTTATTCACAGCACAAAAAGGCACACTTATGTGTCCATCAAACCACTGGAAACTCTATGAGTCCAGGGACATTGTTTTTGACAAAGGAAATGGGGCCCAAGTAAGTTGAGTCCGCATAGATGCCAGACCGACTCACCAAGGGCAAGACCAAGCGAATATGAGGGAACAGGGTCCAGGCCATCAGATAATACAGCTCCGATATGAACCTGACTCCCCCTCAAGAGTGCCCAAAATGATTGGAAGCACCGCCACTATAAGCAACAATGCACAAGAAATGGATGACCAAGAGGAAAGAAGGGGCAATGGGAATGCAAACAGTTCATTTGCACCCCTCCAACCTCTAGTCAAGGCGCTACAAACAAAAACCAAGGTCAGCAAATGGATACTGGAACAAACAATACACTGTCTGTTCATTTCACATCCAAACTGACCAACCATTCATCAAATCAAGCCAGAGGACCTCCTCAACCCTATCCAAGCCTCATCCCACCTCCAGCTGTTTGATGTTCTGCGTGCATCAGAAAAACACTGATTCCTGAAGATGGCTATTTCCTTGTAAAAGCATATGTCACATCGACAATCTTGAAGGACATCAATAAGAGAAATGAGGACCGTGTGAACTTAGCCACAAGTATCAAAGGACAGAACAATAGCGCTTACCGAGCGTCTACCAACACTGATCCTATGACCTATAATAAGGCCATTTTGCAACCAGACACCATATAATGGCTTGCTGCCCTGGCTGAAGAACTCCAAGTATTTGACCAAATAAAGCTTTACAAAGAGACATTGAGGCCAAGGGACCGTAAAACCATCAAATCTAAGTGGGTTTTCAAGATAAAATAAGGCCTCAATGAGGAAATCCAACAATACAAGGCCCGCATTGTTGCAAAAGGATTCGGCCAAATTGAGGGACCTGATTATCAAGAAACCTTTGCACCTGTGGCAAAATTCTCGACCACTAGCAGCCAAGTACAACCTTGAAATCCACCAAATGGACATAAAACTGCCTTTTTAAATGGTGACCTTGACAAGGATATATCCTTGGGACCACCTCCTGGATCAAATTGCGGCAAAGGCAAGGTCTGGAAGCTCCAAAACTCCCTGTACAGTTTGAAACAAGCAGGAAGAGTGTGGTACACCAAAATTTGTTCTGAATTTGAATAGCTTGGATTTACAAGAAGTGACGCTGACCATGCTCTGTTCTACAAGTGAGAAGATTCTAACATGTTAATCATAGCCATCTATGTAGACAACAAACTCTTGCTTTCAAACAGCATAGTCAAGCTCAACTAGCTAAAAGACAAGCTCAAAATGGTCTACATCCGACATGGGGGAGGCCTGATGGATACTCAACATGGAGATCAATCACAACAGAACAAAGGGTACCATTGAACGTTCACAGTGCCAATATGTAAAATCCATCCTAGAATATTTTGACATAATGGAATGTTGCATCTTATCTACACCAATGGAAGCTAACCTCAAGCTAATCAAGCTATCTGCCTTCAAAACAGACGTAAAAGAGTACTAGTGCACACTTGGCTCATTGATATATGCAATGTTAGGGACTCATTCTGACCTGGCCTATGCAGTTGGAACACTTGGAAGGCACGCAGCCACTACAGGGCACATCCACTTAGCAGCTGTCAATCAGCAATGGCACTCGCAAAAAATGCTGCTTTCCATAATCAAACCAAGCACATTGCTGTTTGCTACTATTTCATCTGTGACAAACTCAAAAATGGAGAAATTGAGGTTAACTATGTACTGACAGGACAACAAGTTGCAGATACTCTGACAAAGGCACTACCACAAGTCAAACATCAAATGTTTTCTTCAAAGATGGGGTTGATCCAGTGAAGTCCATAATCATTGAGGGGGTGTCTTAAAAGTAGAAAGATTTCTCATATATATACTCCAACAGTTCTTGGACTTTGACAGTGACTGCTTTTAGAGTAGATTACACAATCACATACTTTAGCATAATAGTCAGCTTGCACCTCAGCCCTCAAAACTAGAGACTGAGGTGAGACATTCATCACACTATAAACACTTTACTGATTATTCCTACACTTAATCTTCTGTCTAGGTGAGTTAAATAAAAGCTCTCAAAACTAGGACTGAGACTTAATCTTCTGTTTAGCGTTTCTTCTCAACCTTCATTTAAAATTTTTATCCCATTTTGTAGGTGATTTCAAACACCCATGTAAGCTGTGCCATTGTTATAATCATGGTATATCTGGTTTTGAATATTATTGATATTATTGCTGGTAGTTTGGCAAAATTTTTGCAACATTCATGAATTCAAATTGTTTCTTCTTTTTCCAATATCCAACAAACCAGTTCTACACTTATCTTTGAGAATCTGTAAAGCTTTAAATGTCTCTGGAAGAAGCCTGTTTCTCAACACAGTACTTGTTTGTTGTGGGTAAACAACAAGAGGACGTACTGAGGAGTCTCCTTGACTTATTGGGTATTATATACTACTACAAGATGTTTCTACATGTGTACTATATGGTTGCTTAAGGATGGTAGTTGATGATGTCATAGGGCATACCTTTTTCTTCAGTTGAGATGTATTTTTTGAAGACTTCTGAAAGATCGTGATCCTGCCCAATTTTAGCATTGGCGACCATGAATTGATCTATCAGGGTGACACTTTTGTTGTCATCTTCAATGTTGTTGGCATAATCTTCCCTTCTAGACAAAGCATCCACTTTTCCCATAGAAGTCTCAGGCTTATGAATTAATTTGTAATTGAATCTAGACAAGTACACCACGTAGTGGGTTTGTCTTTGATTCAAATTCCATGCTGCCATAAAATACTCCAAACTTCAAATTGATGCTTAGAACCTTCTAAATAGTGCCGCTAGTGCCCTAATGCTCTAATGATGGCCAGCATCTCTTTTTTATAAATTTGATAGTTGCACTCTGTAGGCAACAAACTATGCAATAAATATGCACAAGGCCTCCAAAGATCATCAGGGTGTTTGATTGATAGGACGGCCCCAGTAGCAAAATCAGAAAAGTTGGTTCTGGAAACACTAAAATGGGAGCTGTTGTAAATGCTTCTTTAAGCTTATCAGAAGCTTCTTGTTCTTTGGAGACCCAATGCCAGAAAACTTCCTTTTTTGTGAGATTATTCAACAGTCTTGTGATATTTGCAAAGTTTTTGACAAATCTTTGATAGAAGTTGCCTAAGCTAAGGAAGGCCCTAACTCCTTTGACACAAGTAGGTTCTGGCCATTCCAAAATAGCTTGAACTTTCTCAGGGTCTATCCTGATGCCATTCTGGCCAATTCACATAGTATAGTAATAACTTTCCATCTTAGATGGGGCATTATTACCTGATAATATTACTATATAGACGGGGCCAGCAGAGTCCGGCAGAGTGTACCAGCTGGGCCCTGTTAGACGTGATATGATTGTGCCCATCCTCAACAACCTGGCTGAGTGAGAGTCCGTTTATTGAAGATGACCCGGCTTGATCATAGGATGATGAGTGGCAAAGAGCGCATTAGGTTGCTGAGATGCAGTGTGGTCTTAACTCCACTCTTGATAAATATCTGGGCTATTATTAAATCTTGACAATTCTGCCTTCTAAGGTCCTGATAGATTGGAGACATCTATGAGATATCTTTAGGTATACATTTACATATAGCAATACAATTATCTACTTGAATTTTGGTATACCCAGGTCAAAGGCATTAGTCTCTGTGCTCTCTTTTACTTTCTCTGTCACAGATGGAGCACTGACACTGAAAACAAGTCCTTCTTTTCCACTATTATCCTGGTCTCAATGTTCAGGCATTGGTGGTGTTAAATATCTAGCTTTTGATGATGTCCTTTGTACACAAGGGAACACTATGTCAAAGTCTGAGGGCCCGGGCATCCCTAATTTTGTGCTCCCAGGGTTGTTACAATTAGGTCTCTTGCATGGCACCCCAATATCAAAGATATTGTTTGTAAGAGTGGGTGCCAGGGAGAGGTTTGAGGAGGGCCCTGGGTAGGGAGCGGAGGAAGGCCCCAGGGAGGGCATAGAGGAAGGCCCCAGGGAGCATTTGGAGGAATTCGGGGAGCACTCAGATGAGTTGGACCTCCCTGGGGATGGCAAATTGTCTGATAAGCCAGTTGACTCACTTGAAATTGCTGATAAAATGTATATCAGACCTTTTAAGTACAAGTAAATGTATGAACTTTCAATTCATGGTTGTTAGACCATATATAGTGGGTAATATGGGTAAATCTGAAGAGAAAGTATTTCAAGATGGTGGTGAAATAATATTTGATGATGGGACATACCTGAGGATGGTTCTTGGGCACTGGATTTCTGCTGGGGAGTTGGTATTTGCAATGTTTACGGCGTTTGATTGTGAAAAATACAATTCCGACTTTCATCACGTGCAATCATGTGCATTTTTCTCAAAATTCCCACAGGCGCAATTTGTGGCACCAGATCCATGTATACTGTGTCTGAACCCTTTATTACCCTACACCACACTTTCATCACATCCCCAACCAAAAAATTACTCAAAAATGTCTTTTTCCACCCAAGAAAAGATCTACAAAGCCAACAAGCACATCAGGAAGGCTGTTATGTACTGGCCCCTGGTTCTTGTCCAATACAGGGACCAGTATGTGGAGATGCTGAGGAAGGAAGTAGTGAGTGGGACAGACACAATAAAGGAGGGAAACAATGCTGGGCATAACTATTATCAGCCGTGAAGATGAGACAGTGGAGGAATTTGTCTGGTTTGATCCCAGGAGACAGACTCCTGAGAGGAAGGAGGCTCTTGATAATAGGTGGTGGTTACAAGGTAAGTTTTTATTTTTTTCATTATTTTTCAATTACTTACTGACTGTTTCTTTTTACAGTGGTTCTATCTCATTCTTTTACCAACCTGCCCATTGCAACAGCAGCAGCACGGTCTGAGCAAAAAAAAGCGGGACTTTTTTTGCATGACAGTGGTGTTGTTGAAGAGGGCAAAGAGGGCAGCTCCGTCCTGGTGTTCTCCATCCCCACCCCTTGTTCCCGGGCCCTCAGAGCCATCTTGCCCCTGGTACATCTAGTGGTCAGTTCCTGGACCCATAGGACCTCCTGATGGCAAAGGAAAGGGAAAGACAAGGGTGGTGGTAGAGATTACCAGGGGTGTAGAGGATTTGCAGAGGAAGAGTATGGGGGAGGGGTGCAAGCGGTGCAGGCTGGAATCAGCAGGAGTAAGCAGACAAAGAAGTGGAGGATGTCCTGTGACAAGTGCAGCTGGGAGAAGTACAATTGTGTGTGGGACAATGATGTGAGCCTGGGGAGCAAGTCCCAGAAGCCAGAAGTATCAGGGGCTCTGGTCACTGCTCCTGACCATCCCATCAGGATTGGGCCGCCCAGGGGAGCGCACAAGCTGGTCTACCAGCCCCATAGAACAACCAGGACCCAATTCACAATCAGGGTCCCCCCACCTTCACAAGCAGTGATCCCAGAAAAGCGGGGATGGGAAGTTGAAGGGAGTGTTGTGGCAAGGGAGCATGATGTCTGAGGGCATCAACAGCCTCCCTAGAATGGATGGGAAGGGGGCTGGTGGATGGTAATAGCATCCACAACCTCCCTGGCAGGAGAGGGGATGGCCTCCCTTATCTAGGCAATCTACTGGGAGCCAGGATGGATTGCATTGGCATCTATCTCCCCGGGTTCTCTACAGGACACTTGGGGCATCAGGAAAAACCCTTTTGCTATATAGCGCTATATAACCACCACCTATATATATAAATGCATTCATAGAAACTATAGTACTATCAGTGCAATCATAGCTCTTATAGCTCTTATAGCTCTTATAGCACAGTAGTAGGCAAAATTTTAACCAAAGGGGAGAAGTATCTATAATTCCCTCAAACTCTGGATTAATCTAATAAACTTGTTCAATAATAGAAAGACGCCAAAAGTGTTTGGAGTAAAGTATATTATTATAGGCAAGGTACTATAAGGGCTCTTATAGCCTATAGAAGCCTACATAGCTCCTATAGCTGTAAAGGCCATAGTTATAATATAGTTCAAGGTGCTTAAAAGGGCCAATAAATCATACAGTATTAATTAATTATGTAGCCTGTATTAGTGAAATAGTAGTTTGTATCCCTGATACTCACAAAATAAGAATAATGATTTATCCAAATATAAGTAGTGATAATGAGTAAAAAAAATAATCTAAGTCCATAAAAGGTCAATATATAACACCTGTATGATATATTTCATAAGCTCTCATGGTGTAGTGGATAAATGTGATGTATGGCTGTAGGATGCTTAGTCACCCAATAGCTGACTAGTAGATTGACAGTTCAAATCCTGTCTGTGTTAATTTTTTTTTATCAGCCACACAACAATTTCCAACATCTATAAGAGCATTTATAGGGCTATGTGAGGCTCTATAGATGGAAGAGGTTCTATAACAGGTTTGACCACTATAACAGCTTTATGAGTACTTATAGTGCTATAGAGCTCTATATAGCTACCCCCATTTTTCCTGATGGGAGGCCTCCTTGACTCCTGAAATGTGGATTGTGTCTGTGGAGGAGGAAAACAGGGTACAGGGCTAGCAGCAGGTGGGGGAGTGGGGTGAGCAGGAGCTGTCCCACCCCAATTTCTCCTCCTGGCACTCCCAAATTATTCAGGCAGGAGAAAACACTTTTGGACATTCCTGGAACACCTTGTCCTTCCCCCGGACCCCCTCCTTACTGGCCTTTTTGTTAGTTTTGGTGATTCTGCACCTTTGTGCTACCTATATATCTTCATTCCTTTCTCTATCTATTCTTCTATCATTCACTATTGATTGTGTTCTCTATTATTTCGCCTTTGTGGCTGCTTTGTTTACCTTTGTTTACAAAACTTCGGACAGTACTGCAGAGTCCAATGCTTCCTATTCTCTAGTTACTCACATTGGACTCTAATTCCAGTCCCTGATTGCTCTCAGCAAGTGGCTAGACACTTCCTTCAAGCTTTGTTCTTAATAGGTTATCAGCCCTGTGCTCTAGCCATCTTCCTGACCTCATATCTCACCATCCAAGTGTCCTACTGCTTATCCATCGTAACCATCGTCTTCTGGGACTCTTATTATCTCATCCATCACCTCAGATTACTCTGATCTCATCTTGATCTCCAACAACAACTCCTTGTTGCAAGTTACCCCTATTTTGGACACTTTTTTGGTCTTATCTGCACCATATCTCGCCCAATCCTTATCTGATTGTCCTGTAACTTCTACCATCGTCTTCTACGGCCTAAATAACCCTAGAAGACCTGTCAGAGCGGTTGGATTTGAGCTGGATCTTTCGGTGAGCCTTCATCATCATTTAATCACCTTTTGGCCCCCTATTCCATATCTCCACATCCTGTGCTCGGATCTTGGCCCTATTTGAGCCATCTACTACCCTATACTATTGCACTTTACACCCTCAATTTGGGGGCAATCCATCCACTCCATCATCCTCTGTGAAGTTCGCATCTTTGGCACTTTCACCCCTATTGGACCCCTATTGCATATCTCCACATCCTGTGCTTCACTTCTTGTGATATTTGGGCCATATATTACTCTATAAAAATGTTCCCTATACCTCTGATTTGGTGGCAATCCATCCATCTTATCTGTCTCTGCATCAATTTCGACTTTTTGCCCTATTTTTCGCTTTTTGGCATATCTGGTGTGTGCATAAAGCTCCAATCTTCTCTACTCTGTCCATTATCAGATAGAACAAGCCTATAGACTGTGAAGCTCGCCTGCATTGCCTCAGTTTGCTGTTGCCTAGAGCCTCTCTCAGTCTGCGGTGTTTGGGGAGCTTAAGTCACTTTGTTGACTCATATACAAGCCCTATTAACCAACACTGTCTCGAGGCGATTTCTCTGTTAATATCAGTGTGGAATTGAAAGGGGAACACAGGCGTAACCCTGTAGCAGCACTAGGAAGCCTTAGCACCCTCCTGGATCGCTTTTGGACGCTTTTTGGACCCTATTTGGACCTATCCTTGCGCTTTCTGACCCTCTCCATATCCTCTCTCTACCGCCTCACCATCTTATCTGCTCGCCTCCTACTGTTGCCCATTGTCTTTGCCACTATTCCATCGCCTATAGCCGTCTCCTACATCATTTATCATTGCTCTATTGTCTTATACAACACCCATCATGTCTGACTCTGATCCCAAGTTCCATCCCTTGTCTGGCACTAACTACCCCCAGTGGAGTGGTGAAATGCAAGCTTGGTTGATGACCAAGGGACTGTGGAGGCTCGTCTCTGGCGCTGAAAAGTGTCCTGGGACTGACACTGAAGCAATAGAGAAATGGGAGTTGAGAGCTGAAAAGGCTGCTGGTGCATTATACCTCAATGTCACCAAAGAGCAGCGCATCCATCTTGATGGCATCATTGATGATCCTGTCAAGATCTGGGAGAAACTGGAAATTGTGCACGTCTCTAAAAAGCCTGGGACGAGATTTAATGCCTATGACGACTTCTTCTCTATCAGAAAGAAGGAGGACGAGTCCCTGCAGTCTCTCATGACCAGAATTGACGAAGGCATGCATCAAATTCAAAATCTTTGTCCTACTGGCTTCTCATTGTCTGAATTGGACAATGAATTGACATGCATGGCCATGATTAGGGCGCTTCCTGATCAATATGCCCACTTCACTTCATCTCTACTACTTCTGGGCACCTTGAACAAGACCCAGCTCAGGGATGCTTTCCTTGCTGAAGAGGTCAATCGCCATCGTCGTGCTGAAGTCGATTCTGCCTTGCATTCTTCGTCTACCACTGCCAATAGTACCTGCACCCATCCTAACTGCCATCATTGCAACCAATCCACCACCTCTACTCGCGTTCAGTGTGATTTCTGTGGTTTACTTGGTCATACCCAAGACAAATGCCACAGATACATTGCTAGTCGCCAACAGGCAGTGGAGGGTGCTAAGAATCGCTACAAGCGTGGCAATAAGGCTCAGGCAGGCTCCAGCAACTCTCAGAATACCTCTCAGCAGCCCAAATCTTCGCCCAACAATGCCAATTCATCTACTGTGGTCACTGAATCAGCTGGAAATGCAAGTCTTCGTTCTATTCATCCCTCTGATCCTCATTGCCCTCTCCAACTTGATGCTGACATTGATTGAAATGCAGACACAGGCGCCACTTCTCATATGACACCTCATCGTCATTGGGTGCACCACTATACCCCATATTGTGTGCCAATCAAGCTGGCTGATCACACTGTTGTCTATTCAGCTGGTGTTGGTACTGTGGTGTTTAATCCTGTGATGAATGGCAAAGTGGCTAGGGCTGTGGAATTCTCTAGAGTGCTCCATGTACCAGATCTTCGAAATAATCTCCTCTCAGTCTTGTATTTAACTCGTCAAAGTGGTTTCAATGTCACTATTTCATCTCATTCCATGTCCTTTATGCGTGACAACACTCTCTTGTTCACTGCAACTATCAATGACAACAATGCAGCATTCCTTGATGGATCTACTGCTGCTTGTGTTGAATTGGGACATTTTACTGCGACTATACCACTTGATTTGATGCTCTGGCATCGCAGATTGGCTCACCACCATCATGCTGATGTCAAGAGACTGATACAGAGAGATCTGGTCACTGGGCTTACACTGGAATCCAAGGCTGCTCCTGATCCTGTCTGTGAACCGTGCTTGTCTGGCAAGATGCATGCCAATCCATTCCCCTCATCTGATACTCGCTCTGCTCATCCTTTGGATCTCGTCCATTCTGATGTACACCAAGTCTCTTCCCCCACATTCTCTGGTTATCGCTACTGGGTCACCTTCATTGACAATCACAGTCAATTCCGTGTTGTTGTGCATCTCAAGGCCAAGTCAGATGTCTTTGATGCTTTCAAGAGATTCAAGGCTTATGCTGAGACTCAATTGGAGCGTAAAATCAAGGCTCTGCGCGATGACAAAGGGGGAGAGTACATGTCCAAGGAATTTGAGCAATTCACAGATGACCATGGGATTGTCAGACAGCATACCACCAGGACAAAAGAGGTGTCTTTGGCTCTCATATGGAGAAATGTGTGTTCATTGGTTACCCTGAGGGGTACAAGGGATGGAAATTCTACAATCCTACCACCAAGCGCACTGTTATCTTTGAGAGAGCTGATTTTGATGAGCGCTACTTCCCTGGCTTGCAGAGGTCTTCTGACAATGTCCCGCCTCCACCTCCCACTCCACCTTCGCTATCCATGCCATTGGGCCTGATTGAGGATGTCCCTGCACCAGGTCCAGGGGGAGATATGGGCCCACCAGCTGCGCTTCAGCAGCCTCAGCCATTGCCTGACAATGGGCCTCATTTGGACCTTGATGCAAAACCACCTGTGAATCAACCTCCTGAGCTTCCAAATCACCCTCCTCATTGCTCACCTTCTCCTGACTTGCCTATTGCACTGAGACGCCCTGCAAGGGCTAGGAGACCACCTAGACCATGGTGGCTTCAACACAGACAACCTACTCCTGCCATTGAGAGTGATAACAGTGATAGTAGTGATTCTGAGGCAGTTGATGATGAAGTGGCACACTTTGGAGACTCTGCTGAGCCTAGGTCATTTTCAGATGCAATGAAGCATCCTGATGCAGATAAATGGAGAGAGGCAGCCATGGAAGAGCTTCAAGCTCATGAGCGCAATGGTACTTGGTCACTAGTGGAACTACCTCCTGGAGTCAAGGCTATTGGTGGCAAGTGGGTCTTCAAGATCAAGCACAACTCAGATGGCACTGTTGAGCGCTACAAGGCCAGATATGTGGCCAAAGGTTATAACCAGTGCCCTGGCTTTGATTTCCTCGAAATATTTGCACCTACTGTCCGCATATCATCCATCAGAGTTGTCCTTTCCATTGCAGCCATCCACAACCTCCATTTGCGCTCCATTGACATTTCCCATGCATTCCTGAATGGAGTCATGGATGTCAAGGTCTACATGCATCAGCCAGAGGGATTCCATCAGGGTCCTCGCAATCTTGTTTGCCAGTTGGACAAGGTCATCTATGGGACAAAGCAGGGAGGCAGAATGTGGAACCAGAAGATGCACACTGTGCTTGAAAAACCCGGATTCAAGCGTACTTATTCAGACTCTGCCATCTATGTCTTTAACAGAGCTGATGTGCACATTATCCTGCCTGTCTTTGTTGATGACATGACACTGGCATCCACTTCTACTTCTGCACTTGACCAAGCTGTCAAGGACCTCTCCCTGCACTTTAAGCTTCGTGATCTTGGCCCTACTTCTTACCTACTTGGCATTTCCATCACTAGAGACCTAAGTAATCGCACCATCTCCCTCTCCTAACATTAGTACACTCTGGATATTCTGGAGCGCTTTGGCATGAAGGACTGCAAGCCTGTGTCCACTCCCATAGATCCTGGTTTGCGCCTCACCAAGGACATGTCTCCCAAAACATCCAGTGATGCTGCTTTGATGAAGGACATTCCCTACCTTGCTGCTGTTGGTGCTCTGATGTATCTGGCCACTACCACTCGTCCTGACATTGCCTTCACTGTTGGAGTCCTTGCTGTAAGGACCATTTCATTATTTTCTTATCTTTGCTATGTCTTGGTTCTCAAACGCTTTTCCCATTACGCCTCTGGCTCTAGGGCTAGAGGTATCGTTTGCCGTTCTACTTCTCATAGCCCTCACAGGCTTTCTTAACCATCGCTACCATTTTATATCACAGATCAGAGACTGGGTATCGCTCCCAGCCAGCCAGCACACTGGGTAGGGACTGGTAGTAGGCATCTCGCCAACCAGCTCCAAGCCCCAGTAAAGCCTGGTTATACTAATAACACCTTATTCAGGATCGTACCTCATTATGAGGATATGGTTCCTGAACACGCGTGACAATCCTCTATTATTAGTACAAGTCTCTCACCTGCTGATTAATCAAGTCAAAAGTTGTACAATAGTTACTCTCCCTTTTTCTTATTGGTCGATTGATTCCTCAGACCACTTTTCGTATATTCTCCTTTCGGTCTGAGGAACGAACAGTTCACTATATAAAGCCTTACCTATTCATGTATGGCTCCTTAGTTTTCTATTACTGAATTTACCCGCTTTACTCCTCAACTAAAACCTTTGAAGCTTACCTCTCAAAGTCCTCTACTCGCTATATTTACTAGCGTCTGTTGACCTCAAGCTCATCGAACCCCTTACTCCCTGCAAGTGCAGAAGGAGACAGGTTTCGTTTTTGTTATAGTTTATCGTTGCCTCACACTTGCCAGATATAACTCTAATCCTGGTCTTACTCACTGGAGCGCTGTCAAGCACTTGTTCCACTACTTGCAAGGCACCCTTGATCATTCCCTTGTCCTTGGTCCTGATCCCAATTCCACTGAACTCTTCACCACTTTCTCTGATGCTGATCATGGTGGTGACAAGGACTCTGGTCGTTCTACTGGTGCCTATATTGTCAAGATGGGATCTGGTGCTGTCTCCTGGAGCTCCAAGCTTCAGAACATTGTTGCTCTGTCCACCACTGAAGCAGAATACATTGCTGCTGTTGAGGCTGGCAAAGAGATTTGCTGGATGCGAAATTTGTTGAAGGAAATGGGCTATCCTATCACCTCTCCTTCCACTCTTCATATTGACAACCAATCTGCCATCTCTGTATCCAAGAACCCTGAGCACCATGGTCGGATTAAACACCTTGATCTGCGATGGCATTGGTTGAGAGATGTTGTTGACTCTGGGCAGATTGCTCCTACCTTTGTTCCCACTGCTGAAATGCCTGCAGACTTGTTGACCAAGGCTCTTGCCAAGCCTAAAGTGGAAGTGTTCAGGAAGATGATGGGACTTATTAGATCAGGGGGGAGCTGATGCTTGGGAGGTGCAGCATCAGGGGGGAGTGTTAGTTTTGGTGATTCTGCACCTTTGTGCTACCTATATATTTTCATTCCTTTCTCTATCTATTCTTCTATCATTCACTATTGATTGTGTTCTCTATTATTTCGCCTTTGTGGCTGCTTTGTTTACCTTTGTTTACAAAACTTCGGACAGTACTGCAGAGTCCAATGCTTCCTATTCTCTAGTTACTCACATTGGACTCTAGGTACTGTATACCTGTCATACTCTCTAATAATACAGTTACTCACATTGGACTCTAGTTCCAGTCCCTGATTGCTCTCAGCAAGTGGCTAGACACTTCCTTCAAGCTTTGTTCTTAATAAGCTGATTATCCAAAATGTCCCGCAATGTACAATCCAATGCTTTTAATTCCATGACAGTGTTGCATTGGTGGTTCATCCCAGACAATAACTCCGGTATGTTTCAATACCTCATGGAGGTCAGAGTTTTTTAGAATCCATGTGGGTGCTTCATTCACAGGAATAGGGATTCCAAGGCACAAATGAGCTGTGCGGTCATCCTCCAAGAGTAGGGATGCAATCCCAGAGGATGCTACACATAGAGCAACATTATAATTATCCCTTGCTCAAACAACAGCAGTAATTGTATTACAGAGATATGTTTTCCCCCTACCGGTACCTCCAGCACTGTGAATAAAGGTTGTTCCCCAATTATGATGAATTGACTGCATGATGGTATCAAAAGCATTTTGCTGCTCTTGACCGAGCTGCTCTACATTATCTTTTGAGTAATAATAATACAGTTAAGTGATCAAATTTTACTGAGTCAAAAGTCAGTGAACTTGTGCTGTCTGTTCTTATAAGCGTGAGAATTCTTCAGTGTGGCTACAATTTTCACTGTGTTCACTACTACTGTACTGCTGTTTCTGTATTGCCACAAAAACCACGCGAGCAAAACTAAGCAAAATAAACGATGCAACATGGTTCACACGTGGCATTTGGGACAACCATCCCCTTTATTATAGATAACAATGTCATTCTCGCAAGGTAAGTACATTGTAATTGACGTATTGATTACTTATGTTTTTGATCAAAACAATGTCCTCACTCACAACAAATGGCCTTCTATTCTGATCTTGCTCTGTAGATCTACATTGGACAAACCACAGGAAAACTGGCAATGTGTGCTGTATGACTTTGACCAGTTAGGCAAATGGGCATACATTTCTTCTACAGGCGTCAATCTCAGCAACCACACACAATATCATATTTTATATGGACTTCTACCAACTCCAGATCATATATTGTACCATTATGTTGCGAGTGCAAGGCTTCCTTGGCAAGTGTAATTTATCTCATTACAGCAACTGGACTGGGTGAGTTTTTTTGTGGATTCTGTCATTTTTGCAGTTGATGATAAAATGTGAACAGCGATGCTGATTCCTTGATACACCCCCTGACTGTTGCCTGTTTGGCCTTATTGTACAATGTCCAAACTTTGGGCAACACCCCGTAATTCTTGTCTTATAATAATATTTTTTTTATTCACAAGGCTGCAAATTAATCTTAATTCTTCATGTCTCCCTCTGACACAAAGTGTAAGCTCTTGTTGGACGCTGAAGCAGACCAACCCTCAAAGAAAACAAGGTGAATGAACGGTAAAAATTGTGTTTTTGATATATACTCATTACCAATTCATAGGTTGACCAATGTAACCGGTCACGTACACACAATGTACCTACTGTTCCTCAAGTGTCAGAAGATGCTAACAGAAACAGTGCTCTCAACGGAAACAACAAGCACACAAGCCTTCAAGTAGCTGATAATGTGAACTCCAGCTTGTCCTGTGATATTGTCATTGATCCCACCTTACTGCAAGGTTTGGGTAACAATGTTATACGATATGCTATTCAAAATCAGTGCTATCTGTTGTATGCTCATAACTATAAATGTTACCTGTATTAACAGGATTGTGTCATACTCCAATCAGGCCACAAACAAGTATGCCATCTGCTTCCCAATCTATGCCCCTAACTTCATCCCCAGGGCCAGGCAGGTTGATGGTGAGATATTAGAAACACTTTAGGCTCCCATCAATGAAGTCTCTTAAAGCACCCAGGCTATGAGCAAGTCACATAGGCAAGAAATATTGGATGGTCACATGAGTGATTCCAATTGGAAGAAGCTTATACAGATGAGTAGGTCCTGGGCTTCAATAACTCACCCATATTCATGACTAAGTGCATGCCTAGTCCCGGTGCTTTACAAGAAGTTCAAAAAGGTTCAGCAAGGCTTTCTATCAAGCAAGCTTGCATTCAAAAAATCAATTCCACTACAGACTCTGAGGACACAGAGGCCTGGATTGCCCAGGAAAAAAAGGCACAGCAAAAACGGCTGCATAAAGAAGACACCATGGATATATATGAAGTCTCTATAGCAAAATTACCCAGCAAATCAGAAATCCAGCTGCATTTATCGCAACAGGAAACAAGAAATAGAGTGGCCCAAGGAACCACTGGGGTGTTATTGGTGGGTCTGAAGTTGGAAGAGACTCAGTAAGTCCCCGGGATCTCAGAAATACATACTTTTTAATACTGATTAACTCTATTCAATAGGATACAGCTGCAAATGTATGGAAAACAAATCAAACAAAAGGGCACAACCACAAAAAAATTGGAGTTAGAGGAAAGGTGTCAACACCTGATCTCCCGTGTAGATGCCTTTGACCTCAAGGTTGAAATATATTTAGGTAATATCAATGTTGCCAATTCTCTTGAGGAAGTCTCAGGGTGGCCAAACTCCGATAAAGATGACATTGCAGAAAACATAAATCTGTTTGACCTCCCAGGTTCCTTTGATGGCAATGATGGGCCTACTAAGAGGAGAAATTTGGTGTTACCCTCTAACTTAGAAAAGGCACTTGCAAAATTGAAGGCCTACACCATCTAGTACACTCCAGGAAGGTTAGGCCAATAATGCCTTGCATCAGATACATATTGTACTGGGTCAAAAGTCATTTCTTTTCAGGACAAAGGTGAGAGTGGCTTGAGGCTCTCAAAAGAAAAAGTTGATGGCTTGAGCAGAGATTACCCATGTGGAAGCCGATATCAAAGTCCACTCAGCTATATATAAAAGAGCCTGGCATGCAATCATACATGTATTTCTTGGGTGCTGGGCAGAAATATTGAGAAAATATCAAGAGCTCAAACCAAACCACCTCAAGACAAGTACCCAGCTCATGAATCCTAATGCAACCGGACTCCACAACGCTGCATTGCCATGGTTTTGGAGCATGGATCTGAAAGGTGACACCTCCCAACAGACCTGGATGTCTGAATGTATGTGCACCAGCCCGGTCACAATTTCACAGTATCATACAGCTAACATTTAGTTATAAAATACAGTTTACCGGGTTCACTGGCTGAGAGTAAAAGCCATGTACAATAGGTGGATAGAAGAGGATATTCTGGCGCGCCTCGAGATGAAGTGGACAGTTCAGTATTTTCAACATCAAGCTAAGCGTTGGAAGGATTTTTATAATGCCAATGAAATGGAGGCTAAACCCAGTCATGTAGCATATGCAGAGAGGCAAATCAGGATGTGGAACCAGTTCTCAGAACAGGCAAAGGACTCATTCCAGAGGCTAGGCATAGTGGTTTGAGGGAACTAGAATAGTGAACCACAATTTAATAGAAACCCAGGGTCCATTATACTATGTAATGGTAGTCCAGTATTCCCGGGCTTTAAAGTAATTCAGTGTTCCTGGACTTCATAGCAATCCATTATTCCCCGGGCTATGTAGTAATACAAGATTCCCGGGCTTCTACTCACTCCAACTGCAGGGTGCCCGGGTTTCACCGTTTTCATTGAGCGAGCTACTACAAATAGCTACAAATTTGCAGTAGTGATGTACCCAGATCAAGATAGTTCAGCTGCTATTCCACATCTATAAATGCATAACATGATCATGTGAAGGTACTGACCATCCCGGGGTCCCCACCCCGCACTTTGTATGTATATACTCCCTCATGTAATATGCAAAACATATTCTCTCACCACTGTAGGATGAAACCCCATGACTCAGCAACTTCCCACTAAATGCAGCAATAATCCCACTATCAAACTTGAAGCAAAACCTGCCCTGCCTGGTGAGCTCCAGAATGGCATCATTGTGGTCTCCTACACTTGCCAACATGTCATACCACACTGCTTTGAAGAGACAATCCCAGTGTACTGGTGTCTCCCAGTTGCTGATGATAGAAAGCACATTGAAGACTGAGCTCCATGCCTTTGGTACCGTCACATCATCCATATGGTCCTCAACTCGTACCAGCGCCTCTTGGGCTTGCTCATAGAGCGCAGGGTGAGCTACACGCAAGGTTGCACACATGAGGGCCCCGGTCTCAACAAAAGATTGCAACCACAGTTCACCAGTGCCTGGAGGTGTAGATTTGTGCAATGACGGGGAATCTTGTGGAGCCTCTCCAGTTTTCTGTGGTGAAACTTTTATTAATTGCAATGTATAGATTATAACACAATAACACAAACTTTATGACTGAGTTGGAACCACGCCAGGAATAAGCCTATCAACCTGCAAGGGAATAGCTGACAGTCTCCAGGATTTTTGTCATATTCTGAAGATTTACGCCAGTTCTTTGAGGGCTTTTTGGGGCATTTGCTTTCCATATCTTGCTTGAGATGCTGTAGACTGTCACACATGCTTTGCTAAATATATTGTCTCCATATAAGTATTTTGCATGACCATGTAAATATATTTTCACCTGTTTCTCCTCAGTGAGGATGCCTAGGAGGTACCATAGAACTATTCTTCCATGAATGTCCATTATAATGGAAAAGATTGTGATAATGTCAATATTTTTTGCAGGTTGATATTCCTCAGATATACTCTGTTCAAGCTTGTTGTCCTGACCATTATTCCGAGGACCCACCCATGCAGATGGAGAATTCTGATGATGACATTCAACTCACTTCAGGGTGAGAGTTGGCAATAAATAAAGGAAGATAAGTATGGTCAAGGTTCAAAAATAGCTTTTGAGATCAAAGAGGTAACTGCTTGTCTCATCTTTCAGTATATCTAGACTATTGTCAATCAAAGATTTAACCCATACTAGTCACTATTCTGTCAAATACACAAATAATCACCAATGTCATTTTGCCTAAACCAGAATAGGAGAAACCACCTATGCTTGTTGAAGGGAATTGGTGTTGTAGCTGACTTACAAAAAGGAGAAATGGAAGGTATTTCAAATCCGCTTTAATTTTGATGCTAACCAGATCTAAGGCAAATAAACATGAACTACTCACTGCGTCAGGCACTCTCAAGACCATCTGGAATTACATCTGTTATAGTATTATATAATGCCTTATGCTATAATAGAAACTATTTCCTATAATAATTCCTTAAAATTCAAGGTATACACATTCTACAAGTAGTGGTAAGGAATCATAGCTAAGAGCATCACTTGAGAAACAATGATTAATAAGTCCAAAGAGAAATGGTTGTGATAGCTACTCAAAAAAACTACATGTGAATAATATTTGGCAGCCAAAAGGTAGAGATTTTCTATTTATTTTTCATCCACAATGAATGATTTTATCTGTTGAAGACCCCTGACACCTTGTGACATGTGACAGTGTAATGCAAAAGAACCTAGATGTTACAATACACGATTTTTGGACCTTTAAATTTCATTCTCCACTTTAACTTTGTTTTGTAGTTTTCACACACTGTGCCATGCAATACTTCCCATTTTGTTCAAACTCCGCTTTCTCACGCTGCACTGCTTTTCTTTATTCTTAGCTACAAGTCTCTCACACAGTGGAGCTGGTCACACAGGCTGTGCCCTATGACATCATCAGCCACTGCCTTCATCAACTGTTAAGTACATATGTACAAACAACCTGTAGATGTATATAAACCCCCATAGATCAAGGAGACTCCTCAGCAAGTCCTCCTGTTGTTTACCCACAACTAACTTGGTCCTATCATAAGGGGTAACCATTCCCACTCACTTCAACTGTAGCCTGTCTGAGTTGTGCGCCAGAGTATACAAACTCTAGGTTGTTACATTAGGACTCGCTCTTTCTACTCTCTTGCACTTTGTGGAAACCTGGACCACAGGGTTAAGTGGAGTCTTTCAAACAGTAAGACTTTGGCGCCAGTTGGTGTTGAGCTTTTACCTAGCCGCGGAAACAAAGTGTGTGCCCCAATCCTGCAGGCGAGCTCCTCAGGACAAGGTACTAGAGAGATCAAATCAAATTATACACGGCCCCCAGTATTAAGGGGAGTACCTTAGCTCAGCAGTTGGTGTGAAACCATTGTTGATCAGATTTAGACACAAAACTTCTTCTTTGTTTTCCTCTGACCAGGCCGGGCACTTGCCTCCGCCAGTCTGGAGAAGGTTAAACAGCATAACAAGCGGACCACCCCCTGACGACCATTTGGACTAGGGTGTATTACTGTTACCTTTTATATACTTTTTCAAATACTATAGTGTGGGTAGTTGGGGATTAAGACCTGTTACTCAGCTGGGAAGAGGTAGATCCACAGATAGCAAGTGGGGACCTGCAGTTACATTTTTTTACATTTACAAAGAGAACAAGTCAACATGTTTGCAAACCCAACCCGATGTCAATATTCTGTTGCACAATGTGCATGCACAGATTTTGTCATTAACTATGCAGCTCAGCGAGCTTCAGACAAACCCTCCTGAAGCAGTTGAGCAAAAATTCAACAAGAAAGTCGAGATTGTTGCTGACCCTGGCACTTTTGAGGGAGACCAAGCTCAATTTGCCAAATGGTGGATCAACCTCCAGATTTGGATCAAGACAAACTGGGATGCATTTGCTGACGATTTTGAGATAGCAACAGCTCTGCTATCAATACTAAAAGGACCTATGGTGGGTCAATATGCCCAAGTACAACTCCAGGAGTGCTACACAGCCAATCACTAGCCTACCTGGGACAATCTCAAGGGGAAGATTGAGAAATATTCCAAACCCCAAGCTGAGCGTGACTAGGCACCTCAGCAAATCTGTTCCTTCAAACAAGGAAGCATGAGGACAGATGATTTTGTAACCCGGTTCCTGGCCCTCTCCATCAAAGGGGGTCTAGGTAATGAACGTGCAGTAGAGCTGCTAGAACACAATGTGAACCCCCACATTGCAGAACAGCTTTATCTGGAGGATTTGAGAAACAAGAACCTCTCGCAAGCAGCAGAAGAGGTTCACAAAGTAGGTAGGGCCATTGAGCTCTACAAAATGCAATTCTGTGGCGGGTCCACCATTAAAAACAGCTATTCCCAGAGGTGCCCTGGGTCATCAAACCAAAATAATAAGCACTCTCACGGGTTCAAGCCATTTGGGGTGCAGCCAGGACAGGGTGCTCCTATGGATATCAGCGCGGTCCAAGGCGGACAGATGCACAGATTCAAGGGCAACTGTTACAACTGTGGCCAAGAGGGACACATGTCCTGAGACTGTAGAAATGGGGTGCAGGCCGCTCAACAAAAACATAACCAAGGGCGCCAGATGCGCCAATTAGAAACAGAGATGCCGCCGGACAATTGGCTCAATTCATTGGCTGGTCATTCATATGACAAAATCCGGGCCTTCTTCTATGATCACCAGGTTGCTGAAATGAAGGCACAGGGAAAAGAATCCAGGGCTTAGGTTACTTTGGTACCTTCACTCCTATTAACGATGAAGTAAACCACAACAAGGTGGCCCCTGCTCCAGGGTGTTGCACGAGCAATAAAGGAAAGGGGGTGGCTCCTCAATTTGTTATCAGAAGTATGCACTGGTATGCAAAACTGTAACTAATATTTATGATACTACCACTGCACCAGTTTCTCCCTTGGAGCGTGGCCCCGGCGAGACAACTACTAGGGTGCTTGATTCTGGTAAAAATAAAAATAAAAACATAGAAAATATTAAAGTAGAAAAACATGTTTTTTTCAATTCTTCTTCATCTTTGGAGCCACTTTTCCCCGAAATCCCAAAGTGTGTGTTGATGCGCACTTATTTATTCCAACAAGAGATCTGTTTAGATGTTGGTGTAGAAAACCTTGCCCAGGGCATAGTACACCCAATTAGCGCACTGTTTGATTCAGGCGCTAACAGAATCTTCATAGATCAGGTCTGGGCAGAGCAAATTGGGCTTCCCCTTGTAAAATTAGATGTATCTATTCCCATCTATGATGTTGATGGAACACTTAACGCAGGTGGCTGCATTACGCACAAATATTCTTTTGTTGTTGAGTACCAAGGACACAGAGAACAAGTCACCGCCAAAGCTACCCAACTAGGGAAAATTAATTTAATCTTAGGCTGGACCTGGCTATTTAAGCACAATCCTGAGATTGACTGGCAGACAGGGGTTGTCACATTGTCACATTGCCCTCAGGAGTGTAATAACTTGGGTCAACTGAGTCACATCCATCAAACAGAGCTGGATGAAAGGATAAACGCTGGTCACGCTTATGCCAAGCTCTGATCTTTAGATAAGATTGACAATGAGGATAGTATTATTGGAATACCCCACATAGCAGATAGGTGCGCTCCTAGGGACGGCCTTGTAGTGCTTTGGGAGAAGAGACAATAATTATTGATACACAGCCCCCAGTGTTAAGGGGAGTACTTTAGCTCAGCAATAGTGTGGAACTATTGTTGATTAGAAATTTAAATATGAAACTTCACTTTCTCTTTCCTCTGACCAAGCTGGGCACTTGCCTCCGCCAGTCTGGAGAAGGGCTGACAGCTTAACAAGTGGGCCACCCCCTGACAACTGTTCAGACCAGGGTTTATTAAATACCTTTTATATACATTTTCAAATACTATAGTGTGGGTAGTCGGAGATTGAGATCCAATACTCAGCTGGGAAGAGGTAGATCTGCAGATAGCAAGCAGGGACCCCCAGTTACGTCTTTTTACTATACTTCACAAGAGAACAAGTTGACATGTTGTCGCAACCCCAAACCGATGTCAATGCTCTGTTGCACAACATGCGTGCACAGATCTCGGCATTAACCACACAACTCACCGAGCTGCAGGCGCACCCTCCTGCAGCAACCCCCTCGGTTGAGAAGAAGTTTAACAAGAAAGTTGAAGTCGTTGCTGACCCTGGTGCCTTTGAAGGAGATAGAGCGCGATACACCGAATGGTGGATCAAACTTCAAATTTGGGTCAAGGCAAACTGGGATGTGTTTGCTGATGACTTTGAGGTAGCCACTGCGGTGCTATCTCGATTAAAAGGACCTGTGGTGGGTCAATACGCCCAAGTTAGAATGCAGGAGTGCTACACCGTGGGAGTGTGGCCCACCTGGGACAATCTCAAAGTAGAGATCGAGAAATATTTCAAACCGCAAGCTGAGCGTGACTGGGCGTGTCAGCAAATCTGTTCCTTTAAACAAGGAAACATGAGGACAGATGATTTTGTAACCTGGTTCCTGGCCCTCTCCATCCAAGGGGGCTTAGGTAATAAACACGCAGTAGAACTGCTGGAACGCAATGTGAACCCCCACATTGCAGAACAGCTCTATCTGCAGGATATGAGAAGTGAGAACCTCTCTCAAGCAGCAGAGGAGATTAGAAAGATTGGTAGGGCCATAGAGCTCTACAAAATGTACCAAGGTGGCGGGTCCACCAACAAAAACAATTTTTCCCAGAGGAGCCCTGGGTCATCAAACCAACATAAAAATCACTCTCACGTGTTCCAACCATACGGGTTGCAACCAGGGCGGGGTGCTCCAATGGATATCGGCGCGGTCCAGGGCGGACAGAAGCACAGATTCACCTGCTTTAGCTGTGGGCAGGAGGGGCACATGGCCCAACAGTGTCAAAACGGAGTGTGGGCCGCTCAAAATAACCAAAGGCACCAGGCACGCCAATTAGAAACCAAAAAACCGGACAATCGGCTCAACACTCTGGCCGGTCGATCCTATGATGGAATCCGGGCCTTCTTCTATGACCAACAGGTCAACAAAATTAAAGCCCAGGGAAAAGAGTTTGGAGCTTAGGTCACTTGGGTGCCTTCACTCCTTTAAACAATGAAGTAAACCACAACAAGGTGGCCCCTGCTCCGGGGTGTTGCACGAGCAATAAAGGGAAGATGGGGGTGGCTCCCCAATTTGTAAATAGATTTTTGAATTTGTTATCTGAAGTATGTACTTGTATGCGGCGCTGTGACTGTGGATTTGTCTTGGACTCTCCTGACAATATAGCTGCTTTGAGCGCTGATTCAGTGGGTCAAGAGGATGAAGGAGTTAACACTGAAAATACTTATAATACCACCGCTGTACCAGTGTCTCCCTTGGAGTGCAGCCCCGGCAGGACAAACAATGGGGTGCTTAATTCTGGTAAAAATAAAGTAGAAAAACATGTTTCTTTTGATACTTCTTTTTTTTTGGAGCCACTTCCCACAGAAATCCCAAGGCATGTGTTGATGCGCACATATTTATTCCAAAAGAAGATCTGTTTAGACATTGGTGTGGAAAACCTTGCCCGGGGCATAGTACACCCAACCCGGGCAAAGTACACCCAACCAGTGCACTGCTTGATTCAGGCGCTAACAGAATCTTCATGAATCAGGTCTGGGCGGAGCAAATTGGACTCCCCCTTGTAAAATTAGATGTATCTATTCCCATCTATGATGTTGATGGAACACTTAACGCAGGTGGCTGCATTACGCACAAATGTTCTTTTGTTGACGAGTACCAAGGACACAGAGAACAAGTCACCGCCAAAGCTACCCAACTAGGGAAGATTAATTTAATCTTGGGGTGGACCTGGCTATTTAAGCACAATCCTGAGATTGACTGGCAGACAGGGGTTGTCACATTGTCACATTGCCCTCAGGAGTGTAATAACTTGGGTAAACCAAGTCACATCCGTCAAACAGAGCGTCTTGAAAAGATAAACGCTGGTCAGGTTTATGGACTCAGATCTTTAGAAAAAATTGACGACGACAATGACAAGGTAAAACCTGAAGAAGAGATTACGAGGCTGGTACCTCCCAAGTACCATGACTTCTGGAAAGTCTTTTCAAAACACAAATGAGAGCGCTTCCCAGAGGCTAAGCCTTGGGACCATGCAATAGATTTGAAGGACAGGTTCAAACCTAGAAAGAGACACATGATTCCCCTCTTGGCTCCAGAAAGAGATGAGGTTTCAAGTTTCATAGATGAACAGCTTAGGAAGGGTTACATCAGACCTTCCCAAAGCCCTATGACATCCCCGGTGTTCTTCATTCCTAAAAAAGATGGTAAGAAGTGCATGATTATGGACTATCGTTACTTAAATGAGTACACAGTCAAAAATGCTTATCTGCTGCCTTTGATTAGCCAGTTAGTAGACAAGTTGGCTGGTGCCAAAATCTTGACAAAGATGGATTTCAGATGGGGGTACAATAGTGTATGCATCAAAGAAGAAGATGCTTAAAAGGCAACATTCACATGCCACCAAGGATATTTTGAACCCCTCGTTATGTTCTTTGGGTTGACCAACTCACTGGCGACCTTCCAAAGCATGATGAACGAGATCTTTGCAGATATGGAAAACTGTGTCATTATTTACATTGATGATTTATTAATATTTACGAAGTCGGACGATGAGGCTGAGCATGACAGGATTGTGCAAGAAGTCCTTTGACGCTTACAGGAACGGGATCTATTCATCAAACCCAAAAAATGTAATTTTAAAGTGAAGGAACATCAGGAAAAATGGGGGTAGCTATATAGAGCTCTATAGCACTATAAGTACTCATAAAGCTGTTATAGTGGTCAAACCTGTTATAGAACCTCTTCCATCTATAGAGCCTCACATAGCCCTATAAATGCTCTTATAGATGTTGGAAATTGTTGTGTGGCTGATAAAAAAAAATTAACACAGACAGGATTTGAACTGTCAATCTACTAGTCAGCTATTGGGTGACTAAGCATCCTACAGCCATACATCACATTTATCCACTACACCATGAGAGCTTATGAAATATATCATACAGGTGTTATATATTGACCTTTTATGGACTTAGATTATTTTTTTTACTCATTATCACTACTTATATTTGGATAAATCATTATTCTTATTTTGTGAGTATCAGGGATACAAACTACTATTTCACTAATACAGGCTACATAATTAATTAATACTGTATGATTTATTGGCCCTTTTAAGCACCTTGAACTATATTATAACTATGACCTTTACAGCTATAGGAGCTATGTAGGCTTCTATAGGCTATAAGAGCCCTTATAGTACCTTGCCTATAATAATATACTTTACTCCAAACACTTTTGGCGTCTTTTTATTATTGAACAAGTTTATTAGATTAATCTAGAGTTTGAGGGAATTATAGATACTTCTCCCCTTGGTTAAAATTTTGCCTACTACTGTGCTATAAGAGCTATAAGAGCTATGATTGCACTAATAGTACTATAGTTTCTATGAATGCGTTTATATATATAGGTGGCAGCTATACAGCGCCACACAGCAAAGGGGTTTTTCCGACTTCCTTGGTATGATCATTGGCCAGAACAGAATCAGGATAGATGTCTTTCCTGAGGATTTCTAGAAGTTTAGAGTCTTGCCTGATTTGAACATTGGCAACCCTGGACTGATCTATCAGGGTGACACCTTTGTTATCATCTTCAATGCCATTGGCATGATCCTCTCTTTTAGATAAAGCATCCGTGTTTCCCATAAAAGTACCAGGCTTATGAATTAATTTATAATTAGACCTTGACAGGTATACCACATAGTGGGCCTGTCTTCGGTTTAAGTCTTGGGCCATCATAAAATACTCCAAATTTCAAATTAGTGCCTAGCACCTTCTAAGTAGTGCCGCCAGGGAAACAAGGAGTAAAAACTCCCCTCCCTCCTGAGTCATACCACTGGACATAGATAGAATGTACTACAGTCTTCTTTCTTTTCCTTTTTTCTGATTTTTTTTTTGAATTAGTTTCCTCCTGTTCCAGTCCCAGAAAATCCATGTGAGTAAGTCCAAGTAAGTCCAAGTACCAGTTGTAAGTCCATAAGGAACTAAGTCCCAGAGGACTATCCTTGTAAGTAAGGACCAGGCCTGTCTGGGTACATTGTCTGGAAGTTGGAGACTAATTTGGAGGCATTCCCGAGTTCTGTTGCCAGTATCCATGAGGTCTCATTGTCCATACCTTTGTGACCAGACCATCTGACTAGGTAGAGTAGTGAGCAGGGCTTCCTGTGGCAATCAACCTTGGAGTCAAGGATTTTGGAGATTTTGTATTCCGGCTCTCCGTCCACAAGGACAGGTGGAGGCAGAGGCTGGTCACGGTTGGGAATGGAGTTCAGAGTTGCCGGTCCAAGCTGGGATACATAGAAGATGGGGTGTACGGCCCCCATACTGTCTGGGAGTTTTAGTATGAAGGACCTGGTACCTGCCTGAGCTACAATCATATAGGGGCCTAGGTATTTCTCTGAGAGTGTCTTGGAGGGGCGCCTGGAGCGGAAGTACTTGGCTAGGACATACACTTGTCCACCAATTTGGAAATCTGAAGCTGGCATATAACAAGCGTCTGCAGGTTCCTGGTACTATTCTGTGTATGGGCAATCTTGTGCCAGAGAAATTGGTGAAGGTCATCTAGGTCTATGGTATATTCCCAGGCTCTAGCGGAAGTGAGGTCGCGTTCCAGATGCACGGAGATGTTAGGGTGATAACCTTTGTTCACAAAGAAGGGAGATACCCCTGTAGCAGTGCTTGGAGCGTTGTTGTATGTAAACTCCGCTAACGGAAGGAGTTCAGACCAATTGTCCTGCTGGTAGTTGCAGTAGATCTGTAGGTACTGCTCGAGCGCCTGGTTAGTTCGTTCTGTCTGTCTATTGCCCTCTGGGTGGTAACTGGAGGTGGAGTGGAGGCGGATATTGAGTGCTTTTCTGAGGGAGCAGAAGAAGTGGGAGTATAACTCGGAGCCACAATCAGAGGTGATGTGCGCGGAAATTCCATGCTTGGAGAACACATGTAGGAGGAAAAGCTTAGCTAGCTGGGGACGTGATGGTATTGTAGGTGGGGATGAACAGGGATTGTTTGGTGAGCCTGTCTATGGCTACCAGGATGGCTGTGAAACTGTTGGAGGATGGAAATTGTTCTGCAGGGTTTGTGATGAGGCACCTTGGCTCTGGCAGGTGCAGTAACTCCAAAAACTGTTGCAATGTTTGGCCTAAACACAGTGCGCGAAGTGCACCACTAACAGGCATGGGAATGTTACTTGACTTTGGTGGGGTCGACAAAAGTATTTTGTCTTGGCTACAAAATGGTTCCTGGGTCATGTGATTTGGCCCAGCAACTGTGGAAATAGGTTCAGAGTCTGGTCCAGGTATATTCTCATCTGATGAGCTCCAGGGTTTTGTTCTGACCAAAATGGCCAGAGAGAGGGTGATCATCTTTATCCCGGTGTACTCGGAGTCGGAGGTCATTGGCATCTGGGATGTAGAGGCAGTTATCCCGCCAGAGGAAACCATTGATATCGGTAGACCAACAAGGGTCGTTCTGAGGAGGGTTGGCAAGGAGTGCGGCGGAAACCAGATTGATGACTAGTGAGGTGAGTATGTCCTGGTGGAGCACTTTGGAATCCATAACGGAAATTGGTTAGGGACAAAGCCTGTAAGGATGAAACCAGTTGCTTGGTGGTGAAGACTGGTCGGAAGTTCTGCAGATTGACTCTGGTGTAGTCACTATCCCCCTCTTTGGGGTAGACATCTTATTGTCTAGTTAGGGAATCTGGTTTAGTTCCAAGATGTCCTGGTTGGAAGTGGATGATCATGTTAAACTGCGAGAGGAACTCTAACCAGCGGGCTTGCTGCCGGGTTAGGAGTTCCATGGTGGAGATGTATTCCAGGTTTTTGTGGTCAGTAACAACATCAATGGAGAAGTGCAACCTTTGAGGTAGTATTGCCACGTTTTGAAAGCCTCAAAAATTGCGAGTAGTTTCTTATCATCAGTGTTGTAGTTGAGCTCTGGAGCGGTAAAGGTACAATAGTGGAAGGC